GGGGGGGGGGGGGTTGGGGAGGGCAGATAAAATGGATGACCCAGCATTCTTAGAAATTCTGCAGTACCACTCAGCAGACAGGCCACTCTGAGGGGCTCAGCTTAGGGCATGGCCCTCACCCCTGAAGCAGTCCCTGCAGCCAGACTAATGCAACCTGCTCATTAGCTTGGGTCAGCTACTTGCCCATCCCTGCACCAATTCTGCAGGAGTACAATGATTGGCTTAGGCCAGTCAGCGTCTGCCTCCAAAGATGAACATGTGTTGTCATACCCAAACGGCATGTTTGAGAATGAGAAGGGAATGGTTTTCCGAAAGGAAATCAAATCACTGCTACAAAGATTTAATTATTTCATTTTAAATAATATAGTTTGACCTTTGGTATATCCAAATCTGTGTTATTCTACTGAATTTATAAATTTACTTGAGATTTTATGAATAGTAAAATTTGAGTAGAAATTACGTAAAGTGTCATGCAAATAAAATCTTTAGTGGATACTTTTTATTTGCTAGCCAGCATCCATCCATTCCTCCTCCTTACTAGTAATAGTAACATGATGAAAAATAGTATCTTCTTTCTTTTTTTTCAAGTGTTAGTACTGAACTCTCTACTATAAAAGTTTTCAACTATCCCAAGGAGAGGTAATTTAAAGTAAAAGTGTGTCTGTTTTTAATTAGGTGAAGTTTCCATATACTGTGTGTGTGTGTGTATGTGTGTGTATGTGTATATATATATGTATATATGTGATTACTTCTAAACCATCTAAAACTTATTTTCTGATGTTTTTATTTTATCGTTTCAGGGTTAATTTCATATACTGAGTATCTTTTCTTGCTTACCATCCTCACTAGTAAGTATCCCCCAATTTCTCGCAACCGTCATGTGGAATTTCCTATTCTTAACGAACAGGGTTTTGGAATTTTGGTATTTGTGTCTTTACCATTAAAAATATTCTTGGTACTTTAGTTTCTAAATCTACAAAATGATACTGTTGGATTAGATTACCCCTCTAGGTCTCTTTTACCTCCTTCTCACTATGGCTCCCCAAACTTTGTCGTCTTAGTAGAAGGCTTGTGGAACAGAAGAGTCAGACTTAGCCTTCACTTAGGAATATTGAAAAATCCTTTGACATTCTACAAAATTTCTGACGACTACTCTTCAAACTGTCAAGGTCATGAAAATCAAGGAAAGATTGAAAAGCCTTTACAGCTTAGAGGAAACTAAGGAGACATAACAACTAACTGCAACCTAGTTTCTTGTGTTTGATGCTAGAATAGAGAAAACAGCATTAGTGGAAAAATATGAAATCCAAATAAAGTCTGTAGTTTAGTTTAAAATGGTATGCCAGTGTTAATTTCTTAATTTTGATAAAGATACTGTGGTTATAGAAGAAATTGATGTTAGAGGAAGCTGGGTGAAGGGTATATGAGAACTCACTATAGTATCTTTACAACATTTCTGGAAGTCTAAAATTATTTCAAAATAAAAAGTTTTTTTAAAAAAACCCTACTCTGAGGAAAGGAAATAAAGAGTAATAATCAATGTGAAAATAGCCAAGGTACTATAAGAATATAGGAAAGCCCCTAGTAGAGCTAAAGAAATAAATTAAGTTCTCAAATTAATTTTGCTTTGAAGGCAGAATGCTTAATTGCAGAAGAGCACACCTTTGAAAATTGTTATTATGAGATCTTCTTTTTCTCTGTTTAGACACTTAACATAGTTTCTGGTGGCTTTTTCACATTTCAAGATCTGTAGATCTGCAGATAATTTGCATTTCACCAATATTTAAATTATTCATTTTTCACCTGATTGCAGAACCCCATACTGGGTTTCATGTTGCTTTTAAAATGCTGGACGCAGATGGGGATGAGATGGTTGAGAAAAAGGAATTTTTTAAGGTGAGTAGATTCTAGTTGTTCTTGGTTTATCATAAAACACCTGAATGTGTGATAATTTTCCATTTCCATAAAAATCACAATTATATCCACTGTTTAGGTATGGAGTGTCATGCAATCATTTATACATTCAAAAGTATTAAATTTTCTATAATACAACCTTGAGGAAACCATTAAGGAACAAAGCATAAGATTCCAAAAAGGGAAATGAGCTTAAGCATCTGCATTTTTTAGGGTTTTATTTTTATGATTTCAGCAAATGATAGGTCTTCATATTAAAAATTGTTCTTACAGCCCTCTGCCCAAAGAAAAGAATAAGAAAAATAAAAACTTAAGCCTTCATAAAGAATGGGGGGAAAAATGAAAAACCACAGTAGGTAGAAATTGGTGCAAATTTTCCAGAAATTTGCTAAGGCTAATATTTGAAAAGCTATAAAGATATGTTTAAATGGTATTTCCTAAGACATAACTCTAGGACATCCAACCAGTAAATTTCACTCCATTCCAAGAAAATTGATGATAATATTAAAAAATAACTTCAGTACATGTAAACTGTTGGATATGTGCCAGTTAGAGTTAAATGTTTTTAACTTATTAGAGTACTTTAGTGAAGAAATATTTGTCAGTTCTAGTCATCTTTTTTTTCTTCCAATCTCCAGTGTACTGGGAAATAGACAACAAAGCTTATTAAAATTATATATAAAATATAGTCTGTACTTGCACTGTCTAGTAAAGTAGCTAGTAGCCATATGTGGCTATTGAGCCCTTGAAATGTGGCTTGTGACTGAAACGTGAGTTTTTTAGTTTTAATTAATTTAAAGTTTGCATTTTAAAACTGATGTTCACTATTGGAAAATTTTTAAGTATGTTTGAAACAACTTGGTTATATTAATCTACTTTTTCAATTGTAAATTTTATGAAATCTAAGTACGGATCAAGTAAATTGAGATGTCCTGTAAGTGTAAAATACACACTAAATTTTGAAGAAAAAAGAAAGCAAGGTAAAATATCTCAGTTTTTATATTGACTACACAATGAAGAAATAACTTGGGGATATTAACTTTACCTGTTTCTTTACATTTTTGCTGAATTTTGTTTTATTTTTTTTTAAAGATTGGTCCTGAGCTAACATCTCTTCCCAATCTTATTTTTCTTTTTCTTCTCCCCATAGTCCCCCAGTACATAGCTGTATATTCTAGTCATAGGTCCCTCTAGTTCTGCTATGAGGGACGCCACCTCAGCATGGCCTGATGAGTGGTGCTAGGTCTGCGCCCAGGATCCAAACCAGTGAAATCCTGGGCTGCCAAAGCAGTGCGCACAAAGTTAACCACTCAGCCTTGGGGCCGGCCCTACATTTTTGCTGCATTTTAAAGAAAATGAAGCTGGAAACTGAAAATGATAAGTTAGTTATAGTTATACTTAAGCAAGAAAAATAACAAGTAATTCCAATCAGTGGCTCCACTCCGTAGAAAAGGGCTTGGTTCGGGGCTGGCCCCGTGGCCGAGTGGTTAAGTTCGCGCGCTCCGCAGCAGGCGGCCCAGTGTTTCGTTAGTTCAAGTCCTGGGCGTGGACATGGCACCGCTCATCAGACCACGCTGAGGCAGCGTCCCACATGCCACAACCAGAAGAACCCACAACAAAGAATACACAACTATGTACCGGGGGGCTTTGGGGAGAAAAAGGAAAAAAATAAAATCTTTAAAAAAAAAAAAAAAGAAAAGAAAAGGGCTTGGTTCTAAAATGGATGTTTATTTAAGTTAATTAAAATGTTTATGTAGGGATCTTTATTTTTTCAAATGATTCCCCACTTTAACAGACTTTTTAAATTAACTCAACAACTACTGATACTGGCCACATCAGATTAAAATGTTTTCTACCACAGATCTTCCTAGACTTAGGATGAGATTACATCCCAGTAAACCCATCGTAAATTGAAAATATCATAAGTTGAAAATGTGTGTAATGCACCTAAACTACCAAGCATCGTGGCATAACCTAGCTTACGTAAATGTACTCTGAACACTTAGATTGGTCTACGGTTGGCCAAAATCACTAACGCCAAGCTTTATTTATAAGAAAGTGTTAAATATCTCATGTAATTTATTCAATACTGTACAAAAAGTGAAAAACAGAATAGTTGTCTGGGTAAAAAAGGTTTTTTTCTCTTTTTTTGCTGAGGAATATTGCCCTAAGCTAACATCTGTGCCAATCTTCCTCTGTTTTTTGTATGTGGCACACCTCCACAGAATGGCTGGTGAGCAGAATAGGTCCACGCATAGGATACAAACCTGTGAACCTGTGCTTAACCTGTGCCACCTAAGTGGAGTGTGCAGAACTTTAACCACTCGGCCATGAGGCTGGGCCCAGTAAAAAAGATTTTAAGTGTAGCAGTTGTTTACTCTCATCATCACGGTGCTGACTGGGAGCTGCAGCTGCCACTGCTCACCATCCCGAGAAAGTATCATACTGCCTATCACTAGCCTGGGAAAAGATAAAAATTCAAAGTACAGGTTCTACTGAATGTGTATCACTTTCCCACATTTGTAAAGTCAAAAGATGATAAGTCAGGGACCATCTGTATACTTTAAGCTAAAACGCTGAGATTTCCATCTGCTGCTTTACTGCCCACTCACATAGATATTTGTGTCATTTACCCTAGTTTCTCCCATATGCTTAGATTTATACATTCTACACTCTCTTCCAGATAATTTCTAAAGATGTTAAAAATATCTAAAGATATGTATAAATCTAAATTTTGTGGGATCCTTCTGTTTTATAAATTTATTCTCTATTTCGAACCTTTTTTGCTATGTCCTTTGCTTCTAGTCTTTGAGAGAGTTTCTTATATATAAAACCAAATATTTAGTAATTAAATTTGCAAAGCTTGTGGTATGGAACCTTGTCAAAGGGATTCACTGAGTTATGATTTATATACAATAAAATGCACTTGTTTAAAGTATACAGTTTGATGAGTTTGGACAAATATACACCACATGAAATCTCGAGCCTTCCTAGTCCATCCCACCCAGAACGTGGATCACCCCTTTTCCAGAGTTCCACACTGTTTACACTCCCTGCCCAGCAATCACTTAGTAGCCGTCTCATTGATCAGATCTACTGTCACAGTATTCCAGTGCTTGTGTTCAAGTAACCCTTATTTTACTTAATAATGACCTCAAAGCGTAAGAGGAGTGATGTTGGCAATTCAGATATGCCAAAGAGAAGCCATAAAGTGCTTCCTTACAGTGAAATGGTGAAAGTTTTCAAGTTAATAAGGAAAGAAAAAAAATTATATGCTGAGATTGCTAAGGTCTACAGTAACTTTTATTACAGTATATTGTTATAGTTCTGTTTTATTAATGTTTACTGTTAATCTCTCACTCTGCCTAGTTTATAAATTAAACTTTATCATAGGTATGTATGTATTAAAAAACATAGTATATATAGGGTTCAGTACTATCCATGGTTTCAGACATCCAATAGGGGTCTTGGAACATATCCCCTGAGGATAAGAGGGCCTCCTGTAGTTATTTAAATGTACTCATTAATTCATCAAGAATTTTTCTATGTAGTCATGTACCGTGTAACAATGTTTCAGTCAATGACAGACTGCATATATGATGGGGTCCCATAAGATTAGTACCGTATAGGCTAGGTATGTAGTAGGCTGTATCATCCAGGCTTGTGTAAGTACACTCTATGATGTTCACATGATGACTAAATCACCTAACGACATATTTCTCAGAATGTATCCCCATCTTTAAGTGACGCACGATAGGAGTTAGTATGTGTTAAGCATTGTTCTATATATTTTTTACATTTTTAATATGGCTATTAAAAAATTTAAAATTACTTATGTGGCTCTATTATATTTCCATTCAACAACACTGCTTTAGAATATACAAGACTATAGATTCTAAGAAAATTTCATGTATATTTTATTGCGTGCCTCTTATGACAATTGTTTCAAATGCTGCAAAAGATTTTTGTTACTCCTGGGTTTGCAGTTTAAGTAAGAAAGCTGGAAGATTCCAGGGATTGAAGTTGCCTGAAGTATACCTCTAGGTATATGAGATTTCACTGTACTATTCAGAAAAACAGGTAGCAATCTTATAGAATTCATTTTCTTAAAGTGGTAGAAGTTAAAATATAATAGAAAGCTATAGAGAAAACTATACTACTTCAGGGATATTTGATCTATTCAAAATACATTATTTATAAGAGAAACAGGTTTGTAAAAAAAATTTTTTCATTAGAAAGTCACTGTGAACAACATTAGCAAATCTGCTTATTCCCAAAGAAGCAGTGAGGGTAAAGTATTACCATTGTAGAACAGCTAGTTTCTGAAGGCAGCCTAGAATTCCACCAGGTTGAAGGTGCTTGTGAATAGACAAACTGGAAAGAACCAAGGATTTTTAGGTATCGCAGCTCTTACTCAGGACCTCAGGGTAAAAAATACTCAAAAAGCAAGGAGGAAAGGAAATCCTAGACAGTCATCATAAATTTATCTTTGAATTTAATTCCATTCAATCTAAAGAAAGAAGAAGTAACAATATTGTTCTGTTTGCCATGAACAGTGATTAAATAGCCATTATCAGAGGTCCCTTGAGAAAATAAACTATAAAATCGAGACCACTGTAAAAACATTGTTGCTGTTGTGTGTCATACCCAAAATGTGAACAGAGACACCTAAGAAGTGGATTCCCTGATATGAACTGTACGCTGCTGTCAGGAGAAACCAGCAGGCAGTGGTTAATGGAGATAATTGCACTTCAGTGTTCCAAAATTCATCTCTGGCCACAGCATGAAAGATGAATTAAAAGAGGAGAGATTGGAGGTAAGGAGGCTCCCTAGTCTGTTGCAATAGTCCAGTTTTACAACTGTGAATGAAAAGTAGGAAAACAATCACAAGATATTATGGAATAGGCTCTTTAGAACCTGGCTTCCAATTCGATAGAGAAATGAATGGAAAGAAATAATCGGTGGTCATTCGTTTTTCCAGC